TCACCACACAGAGACCCACAGACTCACCACACAGACTCACCACACTCACCACACACAGAGACCCACAGACTCACCACACAGAGACCCACAGACTCACCACAAAGAGACCCACAGACTCACCACACAGAGACCCACAGACTCACCACACAGAGACCCACAGACTCACCACAAAGAGACCCACAGACTCACCACACAGAGACCCACAGACTCACCACACAGACTCACCACACTCACCACACAGAGACCCACAGACTCCCCACACTCACCACACAGAGACCCACAGACTCACCACACTCACCACACAGACTCACCACACATAGACCCACAGACTCACGCCCCGTGTTCATTTCCGGCAATGATTTTTTTATTGTTTGTCCGAGTGAAATAATTTCAATCCGTAAAAACCCCCCCTCAGCCCCTCCCTCCCTCCCCCCCCCCCCCTGTTCACAAAGACAAGAACGTCCCCCCAATCCCCGTGTAGCCCAACGCAGCCTGGAGGGGAAAGCGTTGGGCAACGCACGGACTACCCCGCACTGTCTCCTCTGTGGCGATGATGTTCACGACACCACCACCACCACCAACAACAACAACACACTCATATATATCACTCATATCACTCACTCACTCATACACTCACTCACTCATATCACTCACTCACTCATATCACTCACTCATACACTCATACACTCACTCATACATATCACTCATCACTCACACACTCATATCACTCATATCACTCACACACTCATATCACTCATATCACTCACACACTCATATCACTCACACACTCATATCACTCACTCATACACTTACTCACACACTCACAATCACTCACACACTCATACCACCCACACTCACACACTTATATCACTCACACACTTATATCACTCACACACTTATATCACTCACACACTTATATCACTCACACACATATCACTCACACACTTATATCACTCACACACTTATCACTCACACACTTATATCACTCACACACTTATATCACTCACACACTTATATCACTCACTCATACACTCACTCACACACTCACAATCACTCACACACTCATACCACCCACACTCACACACTTATATCACTCACACACTTATATCACTCACACACTTATATCACTCACACACTCACACACTTATATCACTCACACACTCACACACTTATATCACTCACACACTTATATAACTCACACACTCACACACTTATATCACTCACACACTCACACACTTATATCACTCACACACTTATATCACTCACACACTCACACACTTATATCACTCACACACTCACACACTTATATCACTCACACACTTATATCACTCACACACTCACACACTTATATCACTCACACACTCACACACTTATATCACTCACACACTCACACACTTATATCACTCACACACTCACACACTTATATCACTCACACACTCACACACTTATATCACTCACACACTCACACACTTATATCACTCACACACTCACACACTTATATCACTCACACACTCACACACTTATATCACTCACACACTTATATCACTCACACACTCACACACTTATATCACTCACACACTCACACACTTATATCACTCACACACTTATATAACTCACACACTCACACACTTATATCACTCACACACTCACACACTTATATCACTCACACACTTATATCACTCACACACTTATATCACTCACACACTCACACACTTATATCACTCACACACTTATATCACTCACACACTCACACACTTATATCACTCACACACTCACACACTTATATCACTCACACACTTATATCACTCACACACTCACACACTTATATCACTCACACACTTATATCACTCACACACTCACACACTTATATCACTCACACACTCACACACTTATATCACTCACACACTTATATCACTCACACACTCACACACTTATATCACTCACACACTTATATCACTCACACACTCACACACTTATATCACTCACACACTTATATCACTCACACACTCACACACTTATATCACTCACACACTTATATCACTCACACACTCACACACTTATATCACTCACACACTTATATCACTCACACACTCACACACTTATATCACTCACACACTCACACACTTATATCACTCACACACTTATATCACTCACACACTTATATCACTCACACACTTATATCACTCACACACTTATATCACTCACACACTCACACACTTATATCACTCACACACTCACACACTTATATCACTCACACACTTATATCACTCACACACTCACACACTTATATCACTCACACACTTATATCACTCACACACTCACACACTTATATCACTCACACACTTATATCACTCACACACTCACACACTTATATCACTCACACACTTATATCACTCACACACTCACACACTCACACACTTATATCACTCACACACTCACACACTCACACACTCACACACTCACACACTTATATCACTCACACACTTATATCACTCACACACTCACACACTCACACACTTATATCACTCACACACTCACACACTCACACACTCACACACTCACCACCACCCACCACCCTCCCCCTCCCTCTCCCCTAGTGACGGTGGTGGCCCCTCTCCTCGTGCCGCTTGCCGCTCGCCTTCCGCGGTGCACGGTGGTCTCGGGACGACGATGACGACGTGGCGGCCCGCTCACCCCCACGCTCACCCCCACGCTCACCCCCACGCTCACCCCCACGCTCACCACCACCACGCTCACCCCCACGCTCACCGCCACGCTCACCCCCACGCTCACCCCCGCGCTCACCACCACGCTCCCCGCCTCTCTCGCCCCCACGCTCCCCGCCTCTCTCTCCGCCTCTCTCGCCCCCACGCTCACCCCCACGCTCACCACCCCCACGCTCACCACCCCCACGCTCACCACCCCCGCGCTCACCACCACCACGCTCACCACCACCACGCTCACCACCCCCACGCTCACCCCCACGCTCACCACCACCGCGCTCACCCCTCCCTCCGCGGCTGCGGCTTCGCTCTTTGCCGAACGCCGACGCCGCCGACGACGACTCCCTCGAACGCCGTCGCCGTGACGACGACGACGACGACGCCCCCCCGGCGGTTGCCGGCGGCGACCGGGACGGAGATCGCCGTGACGACGGCCGCTTGGAGGGGCCCCCCCCCCGCAGCAGCAGCAGCAGCCCCCCCGCGGCTCCGCCCCTGGGCCAGGGTCTCGTTGCACTCGGCGTAGGCACGAGGAGGAGGCGGCGGAGGCGGTGGTGGAGGCGGCGGAGGCGGTGGAGGCGCCGCCCTCCTCACTCGCGTCTCGCCCACGCAGCCCCCGCCGGCCGAGGAGGACGAGGAGGAGGAGGTGGACGAGGAGGAGAGTTGTTGTTGTTGTTGCTGGGTGGTGGTGGTGGTGGTGGTGGCGTTGTGGTGGTTGTGGTGGTTGTGGTGGCTGCTGCTACTGCTGCGGCCGTGGTGGTGGTGGCGGTTGTGGTGCTGCTGCTGTTGTTGTTGTTGTTGTTGCTGCTGTTGGTTGCTGCTGCTGCTGCTGTTGTGGTGGTGGTGGTGGTGGTGCAGGAGGTGGTGCAGGGGAGGGGAGGGGCCGCTGCCCGAGCCGGAGCTGATGGAGGCCGAGCGGCTGTGGGAGGGGAGACACGGGGACAGGGTGGGAGACACGGGGACAGGGTGGGAGACACGGGGACAGGGTGGGAGACACGGGGACAGGGTGGGAGACACGGGGACAGGGTGGGAGACACGGGGACAGGGTGGGAGACACGGGGACAGGGTGGGAGACACGGGGACAGGGTGGGAGACACGGGGACAGGGTGGGAGACACGGGGACAGGGTGGGAGACACGGGGACAGGGTGGGAGACACGGGGACAGGGTGGGAGACACGGGGACAGGGTGGGAGACACGGGGACAGGGTGGGAGACACGGGGACAGGGTGGGAGACACGGGGACAGGGTGGGAGACACGGGGACAGGGTGGGAGACACGGGGACAGGGTGGGAGACACGGGGACAGGGTGGGAGACACGGGGACAGGGTGGGAGACACGGGGACAGGGTGGGAGACACGGGGACAGGGTGGGAGACACGGGGACAGGGTGGGAGACACGGGGACAGGGTGGAGACACGGGGGTGGGGGGGAGACACGGGGACAGGGTGGGAGACACGGGGGAGAGACACGGGGACAGGGTGGAGACACGGGGGAGAGACACGGGGACAGGGTGGAGACACGGGGGAGAGACACGGGGACAGGGTGGAGACACGGGGGAGAGACACGGAGGGGATGGGAGACACGGGGACAGGGTGGAGACATGGGGGAGAGACACGGGGACAGGGTGGAGACACGGGGGTGGAGAGACACGGGGACAGGGTGGAGACACGGGGGTGAGGAGACACGGGGGTGGGGAGACACGGGGACAGGGTGGAGACACGGGGGAGAGACACGGGGGGGGTGGGAGACACGGGGACAGGGTGGAGACACGGGGACAGGGTGGAGACAGGGAGACACGTGTTAGACGTTGCACATGAACAGCCCTCTTAATCACTTGCAGGTGAGTTGTGGTGAGTTGTGGTGAGCCATGCGGTGAGTTGCGGTGAGTTGCGGTGAGTTGCGGCGAGTTGCGGCGAGTTGTGGTGAGTTGTGGTGAGTTAGTGGTGAGTGAGTGGTGAGCGAGTGGTGAGTGAGTGGTGAGTGAGTGGTGAGGGGGTGCAGAGCGGGCGGTGAGTGAGTGGTGAGCGAGGGGTGAACGAGTGGTGAGTGGTGAGCGAGTGGTGAGTGAGTGGTGAGTGAGTGGTGAGCGAGTGGTGAGCGAGTGGTGAGCGAGTGGTGAGTGAGCGAGTGGTGAGTGAGTGGTGAGTGAGTGGTGAGTGAGTGGTGAGCGAGTGGTGAGCGAGTGAGTGGTGAGCGAGTGGTGAGGGAGTGGTGAGCGAGTGGTGAGCGAGTGAGTGGTGAGCGAGTGGTGAGGGAGTGGTGAGCGAGTGGTGAGCGAGTCTCACTGTCTCTTGGGTGAGCGCGAGCGGCTGTGTGAACGTCTCCTGGACTCCCTCTGCCTGTGAGACACACAGAGACACAGTGACACAGTGAGACACACACAGAGACACACACAGAGACACACACAGAGACACACACGGTGAGACACACACGGTGAGACACAGAGACACAGAGAGACACACACAGTGAGACACAGTGTGAGACACACAGTGATACACAGAGATACAGTGAGACACAGTGAGACACACAGTGAGACACAGTGAGACACACACGGTGAGACACAGAGACACAGAGAGACACACACAGTGAGACACAGTGTGAGACACACAGTGATACACAGAGATACAGTGAGACACAGTGAGACACACACAGTGACACAGTGAAACACACACAGTGAGACACACAGTGAGACACACACAGAGACACACACAGAGACACACACAGAGACACACACGGTGAGACACAGAGACACAGAGAGACACACACAGTGAGACACAGTGTGAGACACACAGTGATACACAGAGATACAGTGAGACACAGTGAGACACACAGTGAGACACAGTGAGACACACACGTTGAGACACAGAGACACAGAGAGACACACACAGTGAGACACAGTGTGAGACACACAGTGATACACAGAGATACAGTGAGACACAGTGAGACACAGTGAGACACACACGGTGAGACACAGAGACACAGAGAGACACACACAGTGAGACACAGTGTGAGACACACAGTGATACACAGAGATACAGTGAGACACAGTGAGACACACAGTGAGACACAGTGAGACACACACAGAGACACACACAGAGACACAGTGAAACACACACAGTGAGACACACAGTGAGACACACACAGTGACACAGTGAAACACACACAGTGAGACACACAGTGAGACACACAGTGAGACACACACAGAGACACACACAGAGACACACACAGAGACACACACGGTGAGACACAGAGACACAGAGAGACACACACAGTGAGACACAGTGTGAGACACACAGTGATACACAGAGATACAGTGAGACACAGTGAGACACACAGTGAGACACAGTGAGACACACACGGTGAGACACAGAGACACAGAGAGACACACACAGTGAGACACAGTGTGAGACACACAGTGATACACAGAGATACAGTGAGACACAGTGAGACACACAGTGAGACACAGTGAGACACACACGGTGAGACACAGAGACACAGAGAGACACACACAGTGAGACACAGTGTGAGACACACAGTGATACACAGAGATACAGTGAGACACAGTGAGACACACAGAGACACAGTGAGACACACACAGAGACACACACAGAGACACAGTGAAACACACACAGTGAGACACACAGTGAGACACACACAGTGACACAGTGAAACACACACAGTGAGACACACAGTGAGACACACAGTGAGACACAGAGACACACACAGAGACACACAGTGAGACACACAGTGAGACACACAGTGAGACACAGAGACACACAGTGACACAGTGAAACACACAATCACCCACCCACACACCACACCCCAACACCACACAACCACCCACCACACAAACCACACACCACCCATACACCACCCACACACCACCCACACACCACCCACACACCACCCACACACCACCCACACACCCACACACACACCACCCACACACCACCCACACACCACCCACACACCACCCACACACCACCCACACACCCACACACACACCACCCACACACCACCCACACACCACCCACACACCACCCACACACCACCCACACACCACCCACACACCACCCACACACCACCCACACACCACCCACACACCCACCCACACACCACCCACACACACACCACCCACACACCACCCACACACCACACACACCACCCACACACCACCCACCCACACACACACCACCCACCCACCCACCCACACACCACCCACCCACCCACACACCACCCACCACCACCCACCCACACACCACCCACACACCACCCACCACCACCCACACACCACCCACACACACACCACCCACACACCACACACACCACCCACCCACCACCCACCCACCACCCACCCACACCACCCACCCACCCACACACCACCCACACACCACCCACCACCCACACACCACCCACACACCACCCACACACCACCCACCCACCCACCCACACACCACCCACCCACCCACACACCACCCACACACCACCCACACACCACCCACCCACACACCCACCCACCCACACACCACCCACACACCACCACCCACACACACACCACCCACACACCACACACACCACCCACACACCACCCACCCACACCCCCACCCACCCACACACCACCCACACACACCACCCCCACACACATCACACACATACACACCACACACACACCACCCACACACACCACCCACACACACATCACCCACACACCCACCACACACATCACCCACACACCACCCACACACCACCCACTCACTCACCCACTCACCCACCCACTCACCCACTCAACCATCCACTCACCCAACTACTCACCCACCCACTCACCCACCCACCCACCCACTCACCCACCCACCCACCCATTCTCCCACCCACTCACCCACTCACCCATCCACTCACCCACCTACTCACTCACCCACCCACCTACTCACCCACCCACCCACCTACTCACCCACCCACCTACTCACCCACCCACACACCACCCACACACCACCCACACACCACCCACCCACCCACCTACTCACCCACCCACACACCACCCACACACCACCCACCCACCCACCCACACACCCACACACCACCCACACACACACCACCCACCCACACACCACCCACACCACCACCCACCCACCCACCCGTTGTTGTTGTTGTTGTGAGGGCTGCGTCCGCCCGACATCGCCGCCGCCCCCCCCGCCCGGCGTCCCCACGCCGCTGCCGCCCCCCCTCCTCCTCCCCCCCCCAGCCTCCCCCCCCACCTCCCCCCCCGCGGCCCCTCCCCCCCCGCCCGCCGTGTCGGCGTCCAGACGCCGCTTGGCCCCGCGGAGAGCGGCCGGAGAGAGCCGCAGCAGCAGCGATGGCGGCAGTGACGTGGAGGCGGTGGAGGCGGTGGAGGCGGTGGCGGCTGAGGCGGTGGAGGCCGAGGCGGTGGTGGTGGTGCTGTGAGCGGGGTCTCTGGGTGATGCTGGAGGCCGTGGGGGGGTGAGCGGGGGGGTGAGCGGGGGGGTGAGCGGGGGGGGGAGCGGGGGGGTGAGCGGGGGGGTGAGCGGGGGGGTGAGCGGGGGTGTGAGTGGGGGGTGAGCGGGGGGTGAGCGGGGGGTGAGCGGGGGTGAGTGGGGGGTGAGTGGGGGTGCGGGGAGAGACACACACACACAGACACACACAGACACACACACAGACACACACACAGACACACACACACACAGACACACATACAGACACACACACAGACACACACACACAGACACACAGACACACACAGACACACACACACACACACAGACACACACAGACACACACACACACACAGACACACACACAGACACACACACACAGACACACACACGCGTTATTAGCAGCAGCAACCATTCGCCCCGTGTCTCTCTAGCCCCGTGTCTCTCTAGCCCCGTGTCTCTCTAGCCCCGTGTCTCTCTAGCCCCGTGTCTCTCTCTCCCCGTGCGTCTCTCTCTCCCCGTGTGTCTCTCTAACCCCGTGTCTCTCTCTCCCCGTGTCTCTCTCTCCCCGTGTCTCTCTCCCCGTGTGTCTCTCTCTCCTCGTGTCTCTCTCTCCCCGTGTCTCTCTCCCCGTGTGTCTCTCTCTCCCCGTGTCTCTCTCTCCCCGTGTGTCTCTCTCCCCACGTGTCTCTCTCCCCGTGTCTCTCTCTCCCCGTGTGTCTCTCTCCCCGTGTGTCTCTCTCCCCACGTGTCTCTCTCCCCGTGTCTCTCTCTCCCCGTGTCTCTCTCTCCCCGTGTCTCTCACTCCCCGTGTCTCTCTCTCCCCGTGTCTTTCTCTCCCCGTGTGTCTCTCTAACCCCGTGTCTCTCTCTCCTCGTGTCTCTCTAACCCCGTGTCTCTCTCTCCCCGTGCGTCTCTCTCTCCCCGTGTCTCTCCCACCCGTGTCTCTCTCCCTCCCCGTGTCTCTCTCTCCCCGTGTCTCTCTCTCCCCGTGTGTCTCTCTCCCCATGTCTCTCTAGCCCCGTGTCTCTCTCTCCCCGTGTCTCTCTCTCCCCGTGTCTCTCTCTCTCCGTGTCTCTCTCTCCCCGTGTCTCTCTCTCCCCGTGTCTCTCTCTCCCCGTGTCTCTCTCTCCCCGTGTCTCTCACTCCCCGTGTGTCTCTCTCCCCATGTGTCTCTCTCCCCATGTGTCTCTCTAGCCCCGTGCCTCTCTCTCCCCGTGTATCTCTCTAACCCCGTGTCTCTCTCTCCTCGTGTCTCTCTCTCCCCGTGTCTCTCTAGCCCCGTGTCTCTCTCCCCGTGTCTCTCTCTCCCCGTGTGTCTCTCCCCGTGTCTCTCTCTCCCCGTGTGTCTCTCTCCCCATGTGTCTCTCTCCCCGTGTCTCTCTCTCCCCGTGTCTCTCTCTCCCCATGTCTCTCTCTCTCTCCGTGTCTCTCTCTCCCTGTGTCTCTCACTCCCCGTGTCTCTCTCCCCGTGTGTCTCTCTAGCCCCGTGTCTCTCTCTCCCCGTGTCTCTCTCTCCCCGTGTCTCTGTCTCTCTCCGTGTCTCTCTTTCCCCGTGTCTCTCTTTCCCCGTGTCTCTCACTCCCCGTGTCTCTCTCCCCGTGTGTCTCTCTCCCCATGTCTCTCCCCGTGTCTCTCTCTCTCTCCCCGTGTCTCTCCCCGTGTCTCTCCCCATGTCTCTCCCTGTGTCTCTCTCTCCCCGTGTCTCTCTCTCTCTCCCCGTGTTTCTCCCCGTGTCTCTCCCCGTGTCTCTCCCTGTGTCTCTCTCTCCCCGTGTCTCTCTCTCTCTCCCCGTGTCTCTCCCCGTGTCTCTCCCCGTGTCTCTCCCCGTGTCTCTCCCCATGTCTCTCCCCGTGTCTCTCTCCCCGTGTCTCTCTCCCCGTGTCTCCCTCTCCCCGTGCGTCTCTCTCACCGGGTTTGGACGCTGGCGAGAACCTTCCGGGGGTGCCCGGGTTAGGCTCCAGGCAGAATCCACGCTCCCTCAGCTTCAGCTCCTGCAGCTCCACGCGGCAGCGCTCCACACAGCTCTCGAGGTGCTCCAGGCTCGGCTACGGAGAGACACACACACAGATATACACACACACAGATACACACACACAGATATACACACACAGATATACACACACACAGATACACACACACAGATATACACACACAGATATACACACACACACACAGATATACACACACAGATATATACACACACAGATATATACACACACAGATACACACACACACAGATATACACACACAGATATACACACACAGATATACACACATACACAGACAGATTTACACACACAGACAAGCACACACACACACAGATACACACACACACAGATACACACACACACAGATACACACACACACAGATATACACACGTAGATATATACACACACACACAGATACACACACACACAGATATACACACACAGATATACACACACAGATATACACACACACAGATATACACACACACAGATACACACACACACAGACATACACACACGCAGATATATATACACACACACACAGATATACACACACGCAGATATACACACACACAGATATACACACACACACACACAGATATACACACACGCAGATATATACACACACACACAGATATACACACACACACAGATATACACACACACAGATATATACACACACACACACAGATATACACACACACACACGCAGATATACACACACACTCAGATATACAGATACACGCAGATATATACACACACACATATATACACACACACAGATATACACACACACAGATATATATACACACACAGATATATACACACACACAGATATACACACACAGATATATACACACACACACAGATATACATACACACACACAACAACAACCGCCATTCGCCACTAAGTGGCGGTGACGTCACCACGACGCTTGTGCCAGGCTATGTGCACCCTGAGGCCACGTGAAGTGTCGAACGTCCGCTGGCAGGAAGTCACGGGGCAGACCCAGGTGCCACGGGTCGACTGACTGAGATGACTGGCTGATGCACCACCTGTGCCCCCTACTGTGCCAACCTGCTGTGCTTTAGCCACCCGGCGCTCCGCTCGTTGTTCTGAGCGTCGCTCCTCCGCCCTCCGTTGTTGTTGGAGGGCGACTGCCTCCAACTGCCCAGTAGCGTCCTTCACGAGCCTCCTCCACAGAGGCCGATCTTGACACCGCTGGTACCAGTCATCGGCAAGTTCACTCAGCTCCATGTCCTCCTGTACCACATCACTCCATCTCTTCTCTAGCCCGTGCCGCGCCCGCTTAGCCCCCTCAATCCGGCCAAACAAAAGCTGTTTCGGCATGCGGTGGCTGGGCATGCGGGCTACATGACCCAGCCATCGCAGCCTTGCCTGCCGGAGGAGTTCACCGATGGGACCCTGCCCAGATCTTTCAAGGATTTGTGAGCTCCTCACACAATCCAGTCTGGTTAAACCCAGGATGGATCGTAGGCAGGCCAGCCTAAATGTTTCTAACCGGCGAAGATGTTCCATTAGGGGGGTCCACGTTTCGCAAGCGTAGAGAAGGGAGGGAATGACCGTGGCCGAGAAGACCTGAAGCTTAGTGCGGAGCGACAGACCAGGTAGCTTCCACACAGCGTTACGGAACCGATGAAAAGATACTGCCGCTCGACTGATTCGGAGTGAGACCTCTGCTGTTAAACTGGAGCCAGTCATAAGCACACTGCCCAGGTATGGGAAACTCTCCACTCTCTCCACAACTGCCCCATCACCGATTGGGAGTTGTGGGGGTGGAGTGTCCGATGGTACAAAATACCCAGGCAGGTGCTTAGTTCTGGTGGGGCTGATGGTAAGGCCCCACCTCTTAGTGGCACACTCCAGTCTCAGCAGCAGCGTCTCCAACTCCTCCTCTGACTGAGCAGCTATTACCAAATCATCAGCATACATAACGTGGTTGAGCAATAGGGAGCCATCCCTTGACCACACCCGGGCATCGATTAGCCTCCCATTATATCTGTACCATATGGAGATTCCCCCGGTACAGCTATTGAAGGCTTCACGAACTACGTGGTCAAAATAGATGTTAAATAATGTGGGAGCCAGAGGACATCCCTGTCGCACCCCAAGGTGTACAGGGAATGGCTCTGACTCCCGGCCACGTAGTTTTACCCGGGCCCGCTCACCATCATGAAGGTCCTTAATGATCGTGAGCAGAGGGTCAGGTACTCCAAAAGCACGAAGAACGACCCAGAGCCCAGGCCTACTGATGGTATCATAGGCCTTGACCAGGTCACACACACAGACACACACACACACACAAACAGACAGACACACACACACAGACAGACACACACACACACACAGACACACACACACACAGACAGACACACACACACAGACACACACACACACAGACACACACACACAGACACACACACACAGACACACAGACACACACACACAGACACACACACACAGACACACACACACACAGACACACAGTCACACACACACACAGACACACACACACAGACACACACACAGACACACACACAGACACACACACAGACACACACACAGACACACACACAGACACACACACAGACACACACACAGACACACACACACAGACACACAGACACACAGACACACACACACAGACACACACACACACACAGACACACACACACACACAGACACACACACACACACAGACACACACACAGACACACACACACACACACAGACACACACACACAGACACACACACACACAGACACACACACACACACAGACAGACACACACACAGACAGACACACACACACAGACACACACACAGTCACACACACAGACACACAGTCACACACACACACACAGACACACACACACAGACACACACCTTGCGCCGATTGTAGAGCTGTAGAATGGCGAGACAGATGTCCTGCAGGTCTGCCTCGTCCGCTCCAAACAGCGAGAACCACGGAGGTCGCCCTGGTAGCGGGATCTACACAACAACAACACCACACTACAACCACCACCACCACTACTACAACAACCACCACTACTATAACAACCACCACTACTACAACCACCACAACTACAACAACCACCACTACTACAACCACCACCACAACTACAACAACCACCACCACAACTATAACCACCACCACAACTACAACAACCACATCTACAAAAACCACCACAACTACAACAACCACCACCATTACTACAACCACAACTACAACAACCACCACCACCACAACTACAACCACCACTACTACAACCACCACCACCACTACTACAACAACCACAACTACAACCACCACCACCACAACTACAACCACCACCACCACTACTACAACAACCACCACCACAACTACAACAACCACAACTACACCAACCACCACTACTACAACCACCACCACAACAATACCACAACTACAACCACCACAACTACACCAACCACCAGTACTACAACCACCACCACAACTACAACAACCACCACCACCACAACTATAACCACCACCACAACTACAACAACCACCACAACTGCAACAACCACCACCATTACTACAACCACAACTACAACAACCACCACCACCACAACTACAACCACCACTACTACAACCACCACCACTACTACAACCACCACCACTACTACAACCACCACCACTACTACAACAACCACCACTACTACAACAACCACCACTACTACAACAACCACCACCACTACTACAACAACCACCACTACTACTACAACCACCACCACCACCGCTACTACAACCACCACAACTACAACAACCACTACTACAAAACAACCACCACAACTACAACAGCACAACTACAACAACCACCACAACTACAACAACCACCACAACTACAACAACCACCACCATTACTACAACCACTACTACAACCACCACCACAACTATAACAACCACCACCACAACTACAACCACCACCACAACTACAACAACCATCACTACAACCACCACCACAACTACAACCACCACAACTACAACAACCACCACAACTACAACAACCACAACTACAACAACCACAACTACAACAACCACAACTACACCACCACAACTACAACCACCACCACAACTACAACAACCACCACAACTACAACAACCACCACAACTACAACAACCACCACAACTACAACAACCACAACTACAACAACCACAACAACCACCACAACTACAACTACCACCACCAGTACTACAACCACAACTACAACAACCACCACCACAACTACTACAACCACCACCACAACTACTACAACCACCACCACTACTACAACAACCACCACAACTACAACAACCACCACCACAACTACAACCACCACTACAACTACAACAACCACCACCACTACAACAACCACTACTACAACAACCACCACAACTACAAACACCACCACAACTACAACAACCACAACTACTACAACAACCACAACTACAACCACAACAACCACCACAATAACTACAACAACCACAACTACAACAACCACAACTACAACAACCACCACCACAACTACAACAACCACAACTACAACAACACCACCACAACTACAACCACCACAACTACAACAACCACAACAACAACAACCACCACCACTACTACAACAACCAACACAACTACAACAACCACCACCACTACTACTACAACCACCACTACTACTACAACCACTACTACAACCACCACCACAACTACTACAACCACCACTACTACAACCACCACCACTACTACAACCACCACCACCACTACTACAACCACCACCACCACTACTACAACCACCACCACCACTACTACTACTACAACCACCACTACTACAACCACCACCACTACTACAACCACCACCACCACTACTACAACCACCACCACCACCACTACAACCACCACCACCGCTACAACCACCACCACTACTACAACCACCACCACTACTACAACCACCACTACTACAACCACCACTACTACAACCACCACCACTACTACAACCACCACTACTACAATCCACTACTACAACCACCACCACCACAACTACAACAACCACAACTACTACTACAACCACCACCACCACTACAACAACTCCCACCACCACAACTACAACCAGGTGAGCGTGTGAGTGAGTGGGCAAGCGTGTGAGTGAGCGGGTGAGCGTGTGAATTGGTGAGCGTGTGAGCGTGTGAGCGAGCAGGTGAGCGTGTGAGCGAGTAGGTGAGCGTGTGAGCGGGCGAGTGTGTGAGTGAGCGGGTGAGCGTGTGAATTGGTGAGCGTGTGAGCGTGTGAGCGAGCAGGTAAGCGTGTGAGCGAGTAGGTGAGCGTGTGAGCGTGTGAGTGTGTGAGCGAGTAGGTGAGCGTGTGAGCGGGTGAGCGTGTGAGCGGGTGAGCGTGTGAGTGTGTGAGCGAGCAGGTGAGCGTGTGAGTAGGTGAGCGGGTGAGCGTGTGAGTGAGTAGGCGAGTGTGTGAGTGAGCGGGTGAGCGTGTGAATTGGTGAGCGTGTGAGCGAGCAGGTGAGCGTGTGAGTGAGCGGGTGAGTGAGTAGGTGAGCGTGTGAGTGAGTAGGTGAGCGTGTGAGAAGGTGAGCGTGTGAGTGAGCGGGTGAGTGTGTGAGCGAGCGAGTGAGCGAGTAGGTGAGCGTGTGAGTAGGTGAGCGAGTGAGCGAGTAGGTGAGCGTGTGAGCGAGCGAGTAGGTGAGCGTGTGAGCGAGCGAGTAGGTGAGCGTGTGAGTGAGTAGGTGAGCGTGTGAGTAGGTGAGCGTGTGAGTGAGTAGGTGAGCGTGTGAGTAGGTGAGCGTGTGAGTGAGTAGGTGAGCGTGTGAGGAGGTGAGCGTGTGAGTGAGTAGGTGAGCGTGTGAGTAGGTGAGCGTGTGAGTGAGTAGGTGAGCGTGTGAGTGAGTGAGCGAGTAGGTGAGCGTGTGAGTGAGCGTGTGAGTGAGCGAGTAGGTGAGCGTGTGAGTGAGCGGGTGTGTGAGAAGGTGAGCGTGTGAGCGAGTAGGTGAGCGTGTGAGTGAGCGTGTGAGCGAGTAGGTGAGCGTGTGAGTGAGTAGGTGAGCGTGTGAGTAGGTGAGCGTGTGAGAAGGTGAGCGTGTGAGTGAGCGTGTGAGTGAGCGTGTGAGTGAGCGAGTAGGTGAGCGTGTGAGTGAGTAGGTGAGCGTTTGAGTGAGTAGGTGAGCGTGTGAGTGAGTAGGTGAGCGTGTGAGAAGGTGAGCGTGTGAGTGAGCGGGTGAGTGTGTGAGCGAGCGAGTGAGCGAGTAGGTGAGCGTGTGAGTAGGTGAGCGAGTGAGTGAGTAGGTGAGCGAGTGAGTGAGTAGGTGAGCGTGTGAGTGAGCGTGTGAGTGAGCGTGTGAGTGAGCGAGTAGGTGAGCGTGTGAGTGAGTAGGTGAGCGTGTGAGTGAGTAGGTGAGCGTGTGAGTGAGTAGGTGAGCGTGTGAGAGGTGAGCGTGTGAGTGAGCGGGTGAGTGTGTGAGCGAGCGAGTGAGCGAGTAGGTGAGCATGTGAGTAGGTGAGCGAGTGAGTGAGTAGGTGAGCGTGTGAGCGAGCGAGTAGGTGAGCGTGTGAGCGAGCGAGTAGGTGAGCGTGTGAGTGAGTAGGCGAGCGTGTGAGTGAGCATGTGAGTGAGCGAGTAGGTGAGCGTGTGAGTGAGTAGGTGAGTGAGCGAGCAGGTGAGCGTGTGAGTGAGTAGGTGAGCGTGTGAGAGAGCGTGTGAGCGAGCGAGTAGGTGAGCGTGTGAGTGAGTAGGTGAGCGTGTGAGTAGGTGAGCGTGTGAGTGAGTAGGTGAGCGTGTGAGTAGGTGAGCGTGTGAGTGAGCGTGTGAGTGAGTAGGTGAGTGAGCGTGTGAGTGAGCGTGTGAGTGAGCGTGTGAGTGAGCGTGTGAGTGAGCGTGTGAGTGAGCGTGTGAGTGAGTAGGTGAGCGTGTGAGTGAACGTGTGAGTGAGTAGGTGAGCGAGTGAGTGAGCGTGTGAGTGAGCGTGTGAGCGTGTGAGTGAGCGTGTGAGTGAGCGAGTAGGTGAGCGTGTGAGTGAGCGCGTGAGTGAGCGTGTGAGTGAGCGCGTGAGTGAGCGTGTGAGTGAGCGTGTGAGTGAGCGTGTGAGTGAGCGTGTGAGTGAGCGTGTGAGTGAGCGTGTGAGTGAGTAGGTGAGCGTGTGAGTGAGTAGGTGAGCGTGTGAGTGAGTAGGTGAGTGAGCGTGTGAGAAGGTGAGCGTGTGAGTGAGCGTGTGAGTGAGTAGGTGAGCGTGTGAGTGAGTAGGTGAGTGAGCGTGTGAGAAGGTGAGCGTGTGAGTGAGCGTGTGAGTGAGTAGGTGAGCATGTGAGTGAGTAGGTGAGCGTGTGAGTGAGTAGGTGAGTGAGCGTGTGAGAAGGTGAGCGTGTGAGTGAGCGTGTGAGTGAGTAGGTGAGCGTGTGAGTGAGTAGGTGAGAGTGTGAGTGAGTAGGTGAGTGAGCGTGTGAGAAGGTGAGCGTGTGAGTGAGCGTGTGAGTGAGTAGGTGAGCGTGTGAGTGAGTAGGTGAGTGAGCGTGTGAGAAGGTGAGCGTGTGAGTGAGCGTGTGAGTGAGAAGGTGAGCGTGTGAGTGAGCGTGTGAGTGAGCGTGTGAGTGAGTAGGTGAGCGTGTGAGTGAGCGTGTGAGTGAGCGTGTGAGTGAGCGTGTGAGTGAGCGTGTGAGTGAGCGTGTGAGTGAGCGAGTGAGTAGGTGAGCGTGTGAGTAGGTGAGCGTGTGAGTGAGTAGGTGAGCGTGCGAGTAGGTGAGCGTGTGAGTGAGCGTGTGAGTGAGTAGGTGAGCGTGTGAGTGAGTAGGTGAGCGTGTGAGTGAGTAGGTGAGCGAGTGAGTGAGCGTGTGAGTGAGCGTGTGAGTAGGTGAGCGTGTGAGTGAGTAGGTGAGCGTGTGAGTGAGTAGGTGAGCGTGTGAGTGAGTAGGTGAGCGTGTGAGTAGGTGAGCGTGTGAGTGAGCGTGTGAGTGAGTAGGTGAGCGTGTGAGTGAGTAGGTGAGCGTGCGAGTAGGTGAGCGTGTGAGTGAGCGTGTGAGCGTGTGAGTGAGCATGTGAGTGAGCGTGTGAGTAGGTGAGCGTGTGAGTGAGCGTGTGAGTGAGTAGGTGAGTGAGCGTGTGAGTGAGCGTGTGAGTGAGCGTGTGAGTGAGCGTGTGAGTGAGCGTGTGAGTGAGTAGGTGAGCGTGTGAGTGAGCGTGTGAGTAGGTGAGTGAGCGTGTGAGTGAGCGTGTGAGTAGGTGAGCGTGTGAGTGAGCGTGTGAGTGAGTAAGCGTGTGAGCGTGTGAGTGAGCGTGTGAGTGAGCGAGTAGGTGAGCGTGTGAGTGAGCGCGTGAGTGAGCGTGTGAGTGAGCGTGTGAGTGAGTAGGTGAGCGAGTGAGTGAGCGTGTGAGTGAGCGTGTGAGCGTGTGAGTGAGCGTGTGAGTGAGCGAGTAGGTGAGCGAGTGAGCGTGTGAGTGAGCGTGTGAGTGAGCGTGTGAGTGAGCGTGTGAGTGAGCGTGTGAGTGAGCGTGTGAGTGAGCGTGTGAGTGAGCGTGTGAGTGAGCGTGTGAGTGAGTAGGTGAGCGTGTGAGTGAGTAGGTGAGCATGTGAGTGAGTAGGTGAGTGAGCGTGTGAGAAGGTGAGCGTGTGAGTGAGCGTGTGAGTGAGTAGGTGAGCGTGTGAGTGAGTAGGTGAGTGAGCGTGTGAGTAGGTGAGCGTGTGAGTGAGCGTGTGAGTGAGTAAGTGAGCGTGTGAGTGAGTAGGTGAGCGTGTGAGTGAGTAGGTGAGTGAGCGTGTGAGAAGGTGAGCGTGTGAGTGAGCGTGTGAGTGAGTAGGTGAGCGTGTGAGTGAGTAGGTGAGCGTGTGAGTGAGTAGGTGAGTGAGCGTGTGAGAAGGTGAGCGTGTGAGTGAGCGTGTGAGTGAGTAAGTGAGCGTGTGAGTGAGTAGGTGAGCGTGTGAGTGAGTAGGTGAGTGAGCGTGTGAGTGAGTAGGTGAGCGTGTGAGTGAGTAGGTGAGTGAGCGTGTGAGAAGGTGAGCGTGTGAGTGAGCGTGTGAGTGAGTAGGTGAGCGTGTGAGTGAGTAGGTGAGTGAGCGTGTGAGACGGTGAGCGTGTGAGTGAGCGTGTGAGTGAGCGTGTGAGTGAGCGTGTGAGTGAGAAGGTGAGCGTGTGAGTGAGCGTGTGAGTGAGCGTGTGAGTGAGTAGGTGAGCGTGTGAGTGAGCGTGTGAGTGAGCGTGTGAGTGAGTAGGTGAGCGTGTGAGTGAGCGTGTGAGTGAGCGTGTGAGTGAGCGTGTGAGTGAGCGTGTGAGTGAGCGTGTGAGTGAGCGTGTGAGTGAGCGTGTGAGTGAGCGTGTGAGTGAGAAGGTGAGCGTGTGAGTGAGCGTGTGAGTGAGCGTGTGAGTAGGTGAGCGTGTGAGTGAGCGTGTGAGTGAGCGTGTGAGTGAGCGAGTGAGTAGGTGAGCGTGTGAGTAGGTGAGCGTGTGAGTGAGTAGGTGAGCGTGCGAGTAGGTGAGCGTGTGAGTGAGCGTGTGAGTGAGTAGGTGAGCGTGTGAGTGAGTAGGTGAGCGTGTGAGTGAGTAGGTGAGCGTGTGAGTGAGTAGGTGAGCGAGTGAGTGAGCGTGTGAGTGAGTGTGTGAGTAGGTGAGCGTGTGAGTAGGTGAGCGTGTGAGTGAGTAGGTGAGCGTGTGAGTAGGTGAGCGTGTGAGTGAGCGTGTGAGTGAGTAGGTGAGCGTGTGAGTGAGTAGGTGAGCGTGCGAGTAGGTGAGCGTGTGAGTGAGCGTGTGAGCGTGTGAGTGAGCGTGTGAGTGAGCGTGTGAGTAGGTGAGCGTGTGAGTGAGTAGGTGAGCGTGTGAGTGAGTAGGTGAGCGTGTGAGTGAGTAGGTGAGCGTGTGAGTGAGTAGGTGAGCGAGTAGGTGAGCGTGTGAGTGAGCGTGTGAGTGAGTGAGTGAGTAGGTGAGCGTGTGAGTGAGTAGGTGAGCGTGTGAGTGAGTAGGTGAGCGAGTAGGTGAGCGTGTGAGTGAGCGTGTGAGTGAGTGAGTGAGTAGGTGAGCGTGTGAGTGAGTAGGTGAGCGTGTGAGTGAGTAGGTGAGCGAGTAGGTGAGCGTGTGAGTGAGCGTGTGAGTGAGCGTGTGAGTGAGCGTGTGAGTGAGCGTGTGAGTGAGCGTGTGAGTGAGCGTGTGAGTGAGCGTGTGAGTGAGCGTGTGAGTGAGTAGGTGAGCGTGTGAGTGAGTAGGTGAGCGTGTGAGTGAGTAGGTGAGTGAGCGTGTGAGAAGGTGAGCGTGTGAGTGAGCGTGTGAGTGAGTAGGTGAGCGTGTGAGTGAGTAGGTGAGTGAGCGTGTGAGAAGGTGAGCGTGTGAGTGAGCGTGTGAGTGAGTAGGTGAGCGTGTGAGTGAGTAGGTGAGCGTGTGAGTGAGTAGGTGAGTGAGCGTGTGAGAAGGTGAGCGTGTGAGTGAGCGTGTGAGTGAGTAGGTGAGCGTGTGAGTGAGTAGGTGAGTGAGCGTGTGAGAAGGTGAGCGTGTGAGTGAGCGTGTGAGTGAGTAGGTGAGTAGGTGAGCGTGTGAGTGAGTAGGTGAGTGAGCGTGTGAGTGAGTAGGTGAGTGAGCGTGTGAGAAGGTGAGCGTGTGAGTGAGCGTGTGAGTGAGTAGGTGAGCGTGTGAGTGAGCGTGTGAGTGAGCGTGTGAGTGAGCGTGTGAGTGAACGCGTGAGTGAGCGTGTGAGTGAACGTGTGAGTGAGCGTGTGAGTGAGCGTGTGAGTGAGCGTGTGAGTGAGTAGGTGAGCGAGTGAGTGAGCGTGTGAGTGAGCGTGTGAGTGAGCGTGTGAGTGAGCGAGTAGGTGAGGCGTGTGAGTGAGCGCGTGAGTGAGCGTGTGAGTGAGCGAGTAGGTGAGCGAGTGAGCGTGTGAGTGAGCGTGTGAGTGAGCGTGTGAGTGAGCGTGTCGGTGAGCGTGTGAGTGAGCGCGTGAGTGAGCGTGTGAGTGAGCGAGTAGGTGAGCGAGTGAGAGTGTGAGTGAGCGTGTGAGTGAGCGCGTGAGTGAGCGTGTGAGTGAACGTGTGAGTGAGCGTGTGAGTGAGCGTGTGAGTGAGCGAGTCTGTGAGCGTGTGAGTGAGCGCGTGAGTGAGCGTGTGAGTGAGCGAGTTGGTGAGCGAGTGAGCGTGTGAGTGAGCGTGTGAGTGAGCGTGTGAGTGAGCGTGTGAGTGAGCGTGTGAGTGAGCGTGTGAGTGAGCGTGTGAGTAGGTGAGCGTGTGAGTGAGCGTGTGAGTGAGCGTGTGAGTGAGCGTGTGAGTGAGCGTGTGAGTAGGTGAGCGTGTGAGTGAGCGTGTGAGTGAGCGTGTGAGTGAGCGTGTGAGTGAGCGTGTGAGTGAGCGTGTGAGTGAGCGTGTGAGTGAGTAGGTGAGCGAGTGAGTGAGCGTGTGAGTGAGCGTGTGAGTAGGTGAGCGAGTGAGTGAGCGTGTGAGTGGGCGTGTGAGTAGGTGAGCGTGTGAGTGGGCGTGTGAGTAGGTGAGCGAGTGAGTGAGCGTGTGAGTGGGCGTGTGAGTAGGTGAGCGTGTGAGTGGGCGTGTGAGTAGGTGAGCGAGTGAGTGAGCGTGTGAGTGGGCGTGTGAGTAGGTGAGCGTGTGAGTGAGCGTGTGAGTAGGTGAGCGTGTGAGTGAGCGTGTGAGTGAGTAGGTGAGTAGGTGAGCGTGTGAGTGAGTAGGTGAGTGAGCGTGTGAGTGAGTAGGTGAGTGAGCGTGTGAGAAGGTGAGCGTGTGAGTGAGCGTGTGAGTGAGTAGGTGAGCGTGTGAGTGAGCGTGTGAGTGAGCGTGTGAGTGAGCGTGTGAGTGAACGCGTGAGTGAGCGTGTGAGTGAACGTGTGAGTGAGCGTGTGAGTGAGCGTGTGAGTGAGCGTGTGAGTGAGTAGGTGAGCGAGTGAGTGAGCGTGTGAGTGAGCGTGTGAGTGAGCGTGTGAGTGAGCGAGTAGGTGAGCGTGTGAGTGAGCGCGTGAGTGAGCGTGTGAGTGAGCGAGTAGGTGAGCGAGTGAGCGTGTGAGTGAGCGTGTGAGTGAGCGTGTGAGTGAGCGAGTAGGTGAGCGTGTGAGTGAGCGCGTGAGTGAGCGTGTGAGTGAGCGAGTAGGTGAGCGAGTGAGCGTGTGAGTGAGCGTGTGAGTGAGCGCGTGAGTGAGCGTGTGAGTGAACGTGTGAGTGAGCGTGTGAGTGAGCGTGTGAGTGAGCGAGTAGGTGAGCGTGTGAGTGAGCGCGTGAGTGAGCGTGTGAGTGAGCGAGTAGGTGAGCGAGTGAGCGTGTGAGTGAGCGTGTGAGTGAGCGTGTGAGTGAGCGTGTGAGTGAGCGTGTGAGTGAGCGTGTGAGTGAGCGTGTGAGTAGGTGAGCGTGTGAGTGAGCGTGTGAGTGAGCGTGTGAGTGAGCGTGTGAGTGAGCGTGTGAGTAGGTGAGCGTGTGAGTGAGCGTGTGAGTGAGCGTGTGAGTGAGCGTGTGAGTGAGCGTGTGAGTGAGCGTGTGAGTGAGCGTGTGAGTGAGCGTGTGAGTGAGCGTGTGAGTGAGCGTGTGAGTGAGCGTGTGAGTAGGTGAGCGAGTGAGTGAGCGTGTGAGTGGGCGTGTGAGTAGGTGAGCGTGTGAGTGGGCGTGTGAGTAGGTGAGCGAGTGAGTGAGCGTGTGAGTGGGCGTGTGAGTAGGTGAGCGTGTGAGTGGGCGTGTGAGTAGGTGAGCGAGTGAGTGAGCGTGTGAGTGGGCGTGTGAGTAGGTGAGCGTGTGAGTGAGCGTGTGAGTGAGTAGGTGAGCGTGTGAGTGAGCGTGTGAGTGAGCGTGTGAGTAGGTGAGCGAATGAGTGAGCGTGTGAGTACCTGCAGTGTGCGTGCCGAGAGGTAGATGCAGGCACATGCGATGGTCTCTGGGCTGTAGCGCACAAACACGTTTGTGCGTAGGCTGTCATTCATGTAGTTCCTGTGTTTACACGCGTAGCGGGGGGGGGGGGGAGGGGGGGGGCGTGACACGTGAGCGACACGCCAACGACACGCCAACGACACGCCAACGTCACGGCGAACACGCACGGGGTGGGGGGTGACACGGGGGTGACGTGCACACGCCCTCGCTAACACGGCGACACGCGCAAACACACACACACAGCGACACACACACACACAGAGACACACACACACAGAGACACACACACACACACAGCCACACACACACACACAGCGACACGCACACACACAGAGACACACACACACAGACACACACACAGTGACACACACACACAGTAACACACACACAGCGACACACACACACACACAGCCACACACGCACACACACACACACAGCGACACACACACACAGTGACACACACACACAGCGACACACACAGTGACACACACACAGCGACACACGCACACACACAGCGACACACACACACAAACACATCAGCGACACGCAGACACACACACACAGCGACACACACACACAGCGACACACACACACAGCGACACGCACACACAGCGACACACACACACAGCGACACACAAACACACGCACACACACACAGCGACACGCACACACACACACACAGCGACACGCACACACACACACAGCGACACGCACACACAGCGACACACAGCGACACACAAACACACACACAGCGACACGCACACACAGCGACACACAGCGACACGCACACACACACACAGCGACACGCACACACAGCGACACACAGCGACACACAAACACACACACAGCGACACGCAAACACACACACAGCGACACGCACACACACACACACAGCGACACACACACACACACAGCGACACGCACACACACACAGCGACACGCACACACACACAGCGACACGCAAACACACACACACAGCGACACGCAAACACACACACAGCGACACGCCAACACGCTAACACTGACACGCTAACACGCCAACACGCTAACACTGACACGCTAACACGCCAACACGCTAACACTGACACGCTAACACTGACATGCTCACACTGACACGCTAACACGGTGACACGCTAACACGCCAACACACACCGACGGTGACACGCTAACACTGATGAACACGGCGACACGCTAACACTGACACGCTAACACTGACACTCTAACACTGACACTCTAACACGCTCACACGCTAACACTGACACGCAAACACTGACACGCAAACACTGACACTCTAACACTGACACTCTAACACTGACACTCTAACACTGACACTCTAACACTGACACTCTAACACTGACACGCAAACACTGACACGCAAACACTGACACTAACACTGACACTCTAACACTGACACTCTAACACTGACACTCTAACACTGACACTCTAACACTGACACTCTAACACTGACACTCTAACACTGACACGCAAACACTGACACTCTAACACTGACACTCTAACACTGACACTCTAACACTGACACGCTGACACTAACACTGACACTCTAACACTGACACTCTAACACTGACACTCTAACACTGACACTCTTAACACTGACACTAACACTCTAACACTGACACGCTATGATGGTTACAACAAGCTAACGCTGACACACTAACACCGGTGACACGCTAACGACACGTCACAGTGACACGCTAACACAGCAACGCGTATGCACACACACACACGCCACCATCACACCAACACACAGACGAAATACAACACGCGCCAACACACAACAGGCATCCATCACACACACACACACACGCCACCATCACACCAACACACAGACGAAATACAACACACGCCAACACACAACAGGCATCCATCACACACACACACACGTGTACTCAGCATAACACACCAAGAACGCACGCAAACACACCACGCTTATACACACACACACGTGTGTATGCGCGTACACACACACACAGTGTACACACACACACGTGTACACACACACACGTGTACAAACACACATTCACACAACACTCACTCTCTCCACAAGACTCTTACCCCCCCCCACTCTATAACACTGCTATACACTACACTACAATAACCACTACTATACACTACACTATAATAACCACTACTATACACTACAATAACCACTACTATACACTACAATATACAGTACACTATACACTACACTATACACTACAATAACCACTACACTATACACTACACTACAATAACCACTACTATAAACTACACTACAATAACCACTACTATACACTACACTACAATAACAACTACTATACACTACAATAACCACTACTATACACTACACTATAAACTACACTACAATAACCACTACTATACACTACACTATAAACTACACTACAATAACCACTACTATACACTATAATAACCACTACTATACACTACACTATACATTACACTACACTAAACACTACACTACAATAACCACTACTATACACTACACTACAATAACCACTACTATACACTACACTATACATTACACTACACTACAATAACCACTACTATACACTACACTACTATACACTACAATAACCACTACACATTACACTACACTACTATAACCACTACTATACACTACACTATTATAACCACCACTATACACTACACTACTATACACTACACTATACACTACACTATAACCACCACTATACACTACACTATACACTACACTATTATAACCACTAATATACATTGCACTGTACACTACACTACTGTAACCACTGTACACTATACACTCTTTACAGCCCCCCCCCCCACTGTACGGGCCCCCCACTCTGTAAGGCCCCCCACTCTGTACAGGGCCCCCCACTCTGTACAGGGCCCCCCCACTCTGTACAGGGCCCCCCACTCTGTACAGGTCCCCCACTCTGTAAGGCCCCCCCACTCTGTAAGGCCCCCCACTCTGTAAGGCCCCCCACTCTGTACAGGGCCCCCCCACTGTACAGGGCCCCCCACTCTGTAAGGCCCCCCCACTCTGTACAGAGCCCCCCGCCACTCTGTACAGGGCCCCCCCTACTCTGCACAGGCCCCCCCACTGTACAGGCCCCCCCACTTTGTAAGGCCCCCCACTGTACAGGGCCCCCCAATCTCTACAGGTCCCCCACTCTGTACAGGCCCCCCACTCTGTACAGGCCCCCCCACTGTACAGGCCCCCCCACTTTGTAAGGCCCTCCACTGTACAGGGCCCCCCAATCTCTACAGGCCCCCCACTCTGTACAGGCCCCCCCCCCACTGTACAGGCCCCCCACTCTGTACAGGGCCCCCCCACTCTGTACAGGGCCCCCACTCTGTAAGGCCCCCCACTCTGTAAGGCCCCCACTCTGTAAGGCCCCCCACTCTGTACAGGGCCCCCCCCCCACTCTGTACAGGGCCCCCCCCCACTCTGTACAGGGCCCCCCCCCCACTCTGTACAGGGCCCCCCCCCCACTCTGTACAGGGCCCCCCCCACTCTGTACAGGGCCCCCCCACTGTACAGGGCCCCCCACTCTGTAAGGCCCCCCACTGTACGGGCCCCCCACTGTACGCCCCCCCCCCCCTTTACAGAGTCCCCCACTGTACCGGCCCTCTACTGTACAGCCCCAACCCCCCAGTGTGTAGTGTATAGTGTAGTGTATAGTGTAGTGTGGTGTATAGTGTACTGTAGTGTATAGTATAGTGTATAGTGTAGTGTGGTGTATAGTGTAGTGTATAGTGTAGTGTATAGTGTAGTGTATAGTATAGTGTATAGTGTAGTGTATAGTGTAGTGTGGTGTATAGTGTAGTGTAGTGTATAGTATAGTGTATAGTATAGTATATAGTGTAGTGTGGTGTATAGTGTAGTGTATAGTGTAGTGTATAGTGTAGTGTATTGTGTAGTGTATAGTGTAGTGTATAGTGTAGTGTATAGTGTTGTGTGGTGTATAGTGTAGTGTATAGTGTAGTGTATTGTGTAGTGTGGTGTATAGTGTAGTGTATAGTGTAGTGTATAGTGTATAGTGTAGTAGTGTAGTGTATAGTGTAGTAGTGTAGTATAGTGTGTAGTGTATAGTGTGTAGTGTATAGTGTGTAGTATAGTGTGTAGTATAGTGTGGTGTATAGTGTATAGTGTAGTGTGTAGTGTATAATGTAGTGTGTAGTGTATAGTGTGGTGTGTAGTGTATAGTGTAGTGTATAGTGTAGTGTATAGTGTAGTAGTGAAGTGTATAGTGTAGTGTATAGTGTAGTATATAGTGTAGTGTTTAATATAGCGTATAGTAGTGTAGTGTATAGTGTAGTGTATAGTGCAGTATATAGTAGTGTAAGTGTAGTGTATAGTGTAGTGTGTAGTATAGTGAATAGTAGTGTAGTGTATAGTGTAGTGTATAGTGTAGTGTGTAGTATAGTGAATAGTAGTGTATAGTGTAGTGTATAGTAGTGTATAGTGTAGTGTATAGTGTAGTGTATAGTGTAGTGTAAGTGTAGTGTATAGTGTAGTGTGTAGTATAGTGTATAGTAGTGTTGTGTATAGTGTAGTGTATAGTAGTGTAGTGTATAGTAGTGTAGTGTATAGTGTAGTGCAGTGTAAGTGTAGTGTATAGTAGTGTATAGTAGTGCAGTGTAAGTGTAGTGTATAGTAGTGTAGTGTATAGTGCAGTGTATAGTGCAGTGTATAGTGTAGTGTATAGTGTAGTGTATAGTGTAGTGTGTAGTATGGTGAATAGTAGTGTAGTGTATAGTGTAGTGTATAGTGTAGTGTGTAGTATGGTGAATAGTAGTGTAGTGTATAGTGTAGTGTATAGTGTAGTGTGTAGTATAGTGAATAGTAGTGTAGTGTATAGTGTAGTGTATAGTGTGTAGTATGGTGAATAGTAGTGTAGTGTATAGTGTAGTGTATAGTGTAGTGTGTAGTATAGTGAATAGTAGTGTAGTGTATAGTGTAGTGTATAGTACTGTGGGCTAGTTAGGTGACAGTAGTGCAATGGTGAATATGGTGGTGATAGCTTGGTGAGTAGTAGTGAGTAGCGAGTTCTAGTGGTGAGGAC